CAGCGGCTCTCACTCAGTCGCATTACTAGTATTAAGGACCAGTAATCTTAGATAACGCTTAATCTAAGTTTCAGTGAGTTGGAGCAACTGGCTCTTAGTATTTGATAGAACTAAACTTTTAATTATTTATTTGTGAATTTCAATTATATTTTAAATACATAAACTCATTAAGCTCAGAAAAATAATAGAATATTAAATGTTAAGTGTAAAATTAAGTAAAAAGTCTGAAGTACCAAATTTTGATCATGGATAGCCATAACTTATCAAAAGCTTGATTGATAACAATGAATGATGAACACTATAATTTTTCGACTCTACGCACTAGAAATAAATGCATGTGGAAATATTTTAAAATGATAACATGCAGGTAACCTTACTATTTCGACTCAGAAGAAACAGGCAAGTTATTGTTTTCTTAAACGTTTTTAAATACCACAACCTACTAGTTCTATTTCTTAAATACATTTATTGTTTAAAGTCTAAATAATACTAAGATACTTTTCCATTATTTTTTATAAATATTTCAGAAAAAAGCATCCGGTGAGTTTAATTATAGCTTTAAAATTGTGTCTCAATGTTAACGAAGTTTTCCTGGAAATTCTTTTGGTAAGATTTAGCGCGAGGAAATTCCCGAGTTATTTTCACGCCCTCCCCAAATGGCCATCTAGATTGGGTGTTTATTTAAGAGGCAGTGTAAATACTTCGCAATCTTTTCTAGTTTCCTGCCCACATAATGACTAGGTTTAATACCGCCAAAAAAATAAATAAAAATAATCTAGAAACAGATGTTACACGTGTACAAATGTATAAATACTGTTTATCTTCTTCCGTTTCCCCAATTGAATTTAAATAAAAGACGTTACATTATACCTTCGAATTTCCGTGTTTGTTAAGAGTAATTATAGATGATAGAGAACTTTACTATGATATGACTTGAACTTTGTTGTCCAGAATATCATATCTAAACCTAGAAAGGATTCAAACCATAAATGATTTGACACAGGGGTGCCCATCCAACTTAATATCGATGGCGCAAGTATCTATCCTCCCAAGATATTTTATTGCTCACCTCTTCTTTAAAAAAGTGTAAACGAAGGTATAATTAGAAAATTCGTAGATCATATATAATTACACTTGCTACGGTCTGTTTCATGTATTCCTCTTGTCCCTTAGTATAAAACTTCATTAAAATCTATAAGCCCGCCAAAATGTGCCCCCCTCAAAAATTTTAATGGAGTAATTTGCGCCATCAAACCCTCTTCTAGGCACTCCTGATTTGATATTAAGAATAATAAAATAGAAGTAAACCAGTTGTGACTGGATCTGTGGATTGAAAAAGTATTTTTTTTTTATTTGGGGGGGGGCCTTTTGTAAGGCTTATACATTTATTACTGATTTAAATTAACATGGAAAAATATGCCAAAAGTATAAAGTTTAAAATGTCTAATCCGCTAACTAAATTTTTATTCTATACTCTCAGATTCATGAGATGCAACCTAATAAATTATGTAAAATGTACAAAAAATAATCTCTCTTTTTTAAAATTTAATATGTATGCCATAGTAGATATCGAGTATATTTAATGAGGCATCCGTGGAAAGATTTAGTTGAAAATAAATTTTAATTGGTTAATTTATATCGATAATTAATAAATTTCTATTTCTGTTTGATAAGTAGTTTAATAATTTAAAAAAAAAGATACATTTCTTTAACAGTTAATTAAAATGCACGATGAATTCACAGTGGTTCCACCCAGTCTTGTATATACGCCTACATTAAATAAAGTCCTACCCACTGGTAGAAATTATATCCTTTCTGAATAATTACTCTGCACCTTTAAAATAGATTGCCATCGAGCTTGCTTTCTTCGAAATGCCATGATATAGCAGAAAAGATAAGATAAAAGATTAAGAATAATTTCCTTAGAAGACAGCCCAGGACATTTTCCCAACTATTCAAATAGTCTGTTCGGGGAAAGTCATTCACTAAATTGACTCTTTACAGGGCCAATCTCTTCTTCATATTACAGCTGTTATAACTTAAATAATTGTGGGAATTTCTACTTAAGAATGTGGATATTTGTATTCTGATGCTTGTAATTTTCTCATGATAATATATACGCGTTTTAGTAATCGCATGACTTATTATAAAGCTATTACTACCTTCCAATATTTTATTTTTTATAAACTAATAAATAATTATTTTGTACACGTTCTTTGATTCAAGGAATTTAAAAAATCAACTAAACCGATGTATTAGGTTGTTAATTGAAGATTTCTAAGACATTACCTCGATTTCACAAAATAGTAAATAGCTAACCAAGCAACATTTTACTAATTCAAACATCATCAGGACTAAAACATACACATCTCATATCAACAGTTTAAAAGATCAATTGAATAAATATAGAAGGTATATAACATTATAACATATACTGAAGGATTCGAAGGTTATATAACTTAATAGCTGAGAGAATATAATTTAAACAGCTGATCACCTGTTTAATAAATGTATATAAAAAATAGCGGTCATTAAAGGACTAAATTATTTTTTAAAAAACTATTTTATTCAAAGCCAACTTGTTTACTATTTTAATCTGTTTATGGCCGCCACCCCAGACCATCTCCTTACTCAATATCAATATTTAAATTTTGATAACCTAAATATATGATAAGTATTCCATGGCAACCAAATCACCTAAGCGGCTTTCGTCAAGAATTACGATTCATCTCGAAGTCAGTCATTTGAGAGCTCCCAAACGTTTTGGCCCATGAGACATTCACTAAGCCCCGCGGACATGGCTTGATATAAATAAATGACACTTCAACAGTGAAATGAGCTTTCTAAGATAAACGAATCTAATAAATATCGTAAAAACCTCCTGTTTGAGTGATTTACATAATTTCTTATTTTTTAAATAGTTTTAAAATTGTTTCATTTAATCAATGAAACTTGAAAATCAGGTCTTAGTATAGTTTTAAATAATTTATTCCGCCAGAATCCGTCAACTTTTTTGTATTTTTAAATTGGTGGGCGAACGTGCTAACGTGTTTGCACAGCACCGTGCGTTGCCTGGCAACCTGATACAAAAAATTTCGAGTTCATGTCCCGGTGCCTAGAGATCTTTTAAATTCCTAGGATTTGTTTAAATCCACCGCTCTCACCACTTGGTCCATGAAAACCCGCGTATAACCTAAAAAGCGAGGTAAGGGAGATAAAAAAAAAAAAAATTGAATCATATTTGCTTCAAAACCTACTTTTTTTCAAAACAAAGTTGTAGAAATTTAATAATCGATATTGGGATTCGTCCCTTCTCTATGAAATGCCCTTTCGTTTGATACCCCATTCTTCAGAATCTATTGCTCCTCAATGCAGGGCAAGAGATCTGAATACTATTGTATTGTATATAGTGTAAATAATTTTATTTTCTTTTTTTTTTTTTTTTTTTCTTTTTCATCCATTTTGATACTTCTCTTATACGTAAATACTTTTATACTTGCTGGCAATATAATCTTGACGAGCCGTAGTGCAGCTGTTTATCATTTCTTCCAGCCGCCCGGGAGAAGTGCATTCAGCTGTATGAGAGGGCAGCATTCCTGGGCGGCGATAGCGTTGAGTTAGTACAGGCAGGGCCCATCCCGTATATCAGAGGACACTCCGTCCAGGATTTTGATTTAGTGGCTGCCTTCGATAGAGCAATGCTCCTGTTATTATAAATCCTCTGATGCAAGTTATCGTTTACATTTACTGGCGTACACGTTATAAATTAGATCACTTACATTAGATCTTTCATTATTTTTAATTGTAATAACTATAAAAATTTGTATCTGAACAATTTATAGATGATTCTATTTTTAAAAAAATAGATAAAATTCTAGTTCCACAAAGAAAGGACTATCCACTCAGTGTCATTAAGAGAAATTTTCATGACAAATTAACAGATTATCGGGCTGTTACAAAACGTTGCTAAATGCATTTTTATATGGGTTTATTTTTATTTTTTTATAACTTGTTTTTTTGAGAAATCTTACTATCCATCTCGATTAAGGATATTTATAATAGTGTTCAGAGAGCACATTTACACTCTATATACAACAAATAAAAATTATTAATCAGAAAAATAATATAACTAAAACTAAATGTATAAGAAACAACTAAACTCACAAAAATAATAGTCCGCGGTACAGACCCTTTTTATCAAATTATTGACATCCACCTGAAACTTGTAAACAGCTTCATCTCATCGTAATCTACAAATATATTATTTACTAAAATTCTCAAAATTGGGGCGTTTTGAATCTGGTGATCGACAAACTTTGTCTATTTAATTAGATATTAAAAACTTGTATATACACATTTACTTTCCACTTTGATCGTAAGATAATTTAAGCAGAAACTAGAGAAAAAAAGGTGGCCTTAATAAATATTGAGCCGTTTGGCACGGCCAAACTCCCCCAATATTTTTTGTATGTCACCTTTTTTCTCGATTTTGTTATCAACTTATCTTGCGATCCAAGTGAAAAGCAAATGGGTATATACACGTTTTTAATATCTAATTAAATAGACAAAGTTTGCCGATCTCCAGGTTGAAAATTCTTCGATTCCTAGAGTTTTCGTAAATAAAATCGTTGTAGATTACGATGAGATGAAACTATTCCCGAAGTTTCAGGCGGATGTTAATAATTTAATAAAAAGGAGTCTGGACCACGGATTATAACAACTTAAATACAAACACACTTGATATAGGTTAACTTTCAAATTTGTTGTTGTGAATTGAGACCTTACAGAAAATGTTCCACACCCTTTTATTTGTCATATATAGTTATGCTAAGGGCGTAATATTTTTATTTCACAAAGTAAAAATTCATCAAAGTTCTGAATTATTTGAGGTTATGAAAAGTATGTTAATAAATAATTTGTTTTTTCTTAATTAAAATTTATTTTTTAATTTAGGTTAAAGTTAATATCTTATCACTTTGTTTAATTAATTAAAAAAGAGCTCAGTTTAATCTCTCTGTCACCAGTGCCTGCTTTATCCACGTCCTAGTTGAAATAGAAGTAGGCGTTAGCGATTGACATTTGGAGATTAGATGGGAACCTCTTTGGATCCGCTCATTATCGAGCACACCGTACGGCCACCACGGCCTCCTCGATCGATATAGATATTTGTTATTAGAGACAGTAGAAGGCCGTGATCCGAGTGTGAAAGTGGAAAGGGCTGAGTCAGCGGCCCAGCAAGGACGGACCATGTTTGGATAGCGGCGGCCACCTCAACGCATTAACGCCATATTTGTAAGAGTTCTTGAGCGTCCTCAACATCTGCCTTTCTGGTTGGCGTCTCTCTCTCTGTCCTACTGACGGCTGTCCAAGACGTAGTTGGTTATCGTCGTATATAGCCATCTCTATCTGAAGTTAAAAAGTTTATAGTCAGGATGCCTCAGTTCTCACCAAACTTTGGAGGGATTCCGAACTTAATAGGAGCGCAGACCAATTTTGAGTTTTTCTTAAGGTGGTAACGTTTTTATTGATTAAGAAGGAATTCATTTTTTTTTATTAATTGATATTTACAACTGTATAATAAAAAAAACTACAACTAGTAAATGTTAGTGTTGCCAAGGCCGCCTAACTGTTGCAAGACCAAGACCAGGAATGGTAAAAAAAAATCGATCTTTTGAATAAAAATGAAGGCAAAACAGTTACTAATATTTGAGAAACTTAGTTACTGTTAGTAGAGAATTGGAATAACTAATATACTTTTGCATTTAACTCCTCTAATTTTTCTTTCGGGCTTAGTTAGGTTTCTCCTATTCAAAAAATTACAGTAATATCTCTACATTAATAAGCTAATTAGTAGCTGCAATACCGTTGCTAGACTCTTGCGCAAGACCAAGACTCGTCTCGGTCTCGTATTTGGGCAACACTAATAAATATTCACTCAGGATTATAATAACATGAAATCTACCCACTGATAGAACTCAAATAATAAATTTACGCAAGAAGATCACGAGACCACCTTCTTTTCAGTCGCCTCGGGGGGTTATCAGGAGTTACGGATGTGGAGGGAAGCATTATTTTAATTCTTTAAACTAAAAATCTAATTAATTTACAACATTCAAAATATAATTATGTAATATGATGAGACGTAGATTAAAAGAGAAAAAATGTTAGGAAACTCAAACTTAAAAGGTGAAAATAAGATTTAGTAGGCTTCGAGAGTTGTACTACTGTACCATAAATAGGATGTTGAAAACTATTTACTTAAAGTCTTCTGTAACTCGACGCCACATTCAGATATATTTTCCTTTTATCTCGTTGGAAGGATTTACGTAGAGGCAAAACTATTTATCCAAAGTAAAGGTTGCTATGTTTATGTTAAAGATAAAGGAAGTGCATTATCTCTTTGCTAAGGCTTATAATGTAAGATAACGGCAATCGTTTCAACTTGCTTACGTTAATCCATTAATATGTGAAAAATAGCCTTATGTTAATTTCTTTATCAAACATGCACAATGTTATTTTCAGTACTAGCAAATCACAAAATCGAACTTCATAATCGATACAGCTATTTTGAGAAATCACAATACAACTTCTCTATCTTATAGTTTAGAAATATTAACTATTTTAAAATGAATATTTACTATTTCCGTTTTCAATTCATGCATATGATATCGATTCACTTTTTTTCACGAACGAATTAATAACGATAAACCCATGCTTTACTTTAAAATCTTAATTTCATTTCATTTAAAAGTATCGTTTTATTTTAAAATTGGCAATTATATTTAATCAATACTTATATTAGCCGAAACCAAGATTAGCAGAACATAAAAATGATGAATCATATATGCTCATAGGAATATTATATGTTTTATGTAGTCAAAGCCGTTAAATTTTTTCCTAGGGAGAAAAATGTTAATTTTGGCTCCTCTCCCATCTCCTCTGATAAAACACGATTTATTTATTTAACGAAGGTCAAAACGATCCGAGTATATTTTTTACTTGACCTAAAATTAAAATGTAGCTAGCAATTCGTCGAACCTCTTTATTCTGCAGTCACGGCGAAACCCATCCTCCTTTTGCTCCTTCCTAATTCTGACCATATTTTACCCTTAAGTATGCAAATAAGTTAAATATTTTATATAGCAAATAATTTATATTACAACTATACCTTATACTTTATGTAATACCTTAATGTGAGCGTTATAAAGAGAGTTTGATAAGATTATGGATGTATCGGTGCCAAGGACATATCCTGTACAATGTCGAGTACACTGGGATAGATGCGCCCTCACATTCTTCAGCTCTATCCTCGAATAGGCAGGACCCAGGACCTATTTCAGTCTCCTCTGCAGGATCCTTTTCAGATTCCTTCGAGGGGCCTCCTCTATAAATATATCCATGTATATTTAGCAGTCGGCTAATGTTGAAATATAGTTGCCAACTTCTATCGATTTATCCTCCCTGTTTAAACTTAAAACAAATACGCTTCCATCATAACCGTCCAGTGGTAAATATCTTTTAATTTATTTCTGTTAAAATAGTTTTTATTACAGGTATTTTTAAGGCAATTTTAATTACTTTAGATCAAAAAAGCTTTTATTTTAATTTATTTAGAAATATAATAATCTGTCTCGTGGGCAATAATTATAGTGAGATATGAACACATTCACACTACAAATGCAGAAAATATAAAATTAACAACAGTAAAATAATAACTAAATAATAATAAAAAAAATACTGTGTACAATAAAAAATAAAATGACCTAAAGATAAGTAAATTCAAAACATAAAAACACAGTCATACTTATATACAATCACCCAGGGAATCCCAAGCCAGGCTTGTCCCTCCAACTATTGAAGGAAAAGCAGGACTCCAAGAGATCCCTGCGCTAACAAATACGCTTACATCATAACCGTCCAGTGGTAAATAAATTTTAATTTATTTCGGTTGAAATAGTTTTTATTACAGGTATTTTTAAGGCAATTTTAATTACTTCAGATCAAAAAAGCTTTTATTTATTTAGAAATATAATAATCTGTCTCGTGGACAATAATTATAGTGAGATATTCACACCACATGTGCAGAAAAAATAAAAGTAACAAAAGTAAAATAATAACTAAATAATAATTAAAAAAAACTATATACAATAAAAAATAAAATGACCTAAAGATAAGTAAATTGAAAACATAAGAACACAGTCATACTTATATACAATCACCCAGGGAACCCCAAGCGAGGCTTATCCCTCCAACTATTGAAGGAAAAGCAGGACTCCAAGAGATACCTGCTCTACTCTCCCAACCGCGTCACTGGTGCTAAAGCCAATAGAGATTGATTGAGAGCGCTTTAGTCATATACACTCATATCTTGAGTGGGGAATGTAAATTCATATATTGTGTGTATTAAATTTAATTTATTTATAGTTTAAATTTGTTCTGATCAAGTCTCTCCTTCTACAAAAAATAATACATTATATGCATCTTAATGCATTATAATATTTAAAAGTAAGAAAGTATGTCTGATCATGTAGCCTGATCCCTAAGCAATTAATCATACATATAAGGGTGGCCTACAACGTCGAGGCCAAATCTGCCAACGTCACTCACTGAATTTTATTGGGCCTAAAATAAATTTGTGGAATGGAATGTAATGCTGACTCAATCGCCCGAGAATAACCGTTACATCTTAATTTAGCCTTCAACTTCTGACTCTGTATTATATCCCCCTTACAAATATGTAACGATTTTATATTTGGAAGTTAGACCTGGTTTTTCTGTGACAATTTCTGTCATGGTAGTAGACTTGTAATGTAGTACGCTGTCATCAAACCTGTTGACAATAGGAAAAATGGTGGACATAAAACAGCTGATTTCATAATTATATTAACAAAGATAATTCATCATTAGATTTTCATTGAATGCAAACTAAATTGATAAAAATATATCTGATTATAAAATTAATTATGTTTCCAAAAAAACATACGGTAACCGATTAAAAGAACTGTTATTATATGAACTGATACTATAAGAACTGTTATAATAAGAATAAATCCTATTTATTATTTCTAAAAGGTTTTTTTTTGTCGTTACGCCATAACTTCGTCACTTCTTTTTCAAATTCTATGATTGACCACTCATTAACAATATAAATATTTCTTCTTCACATGCGAAAAATAGTCCTATCCCCCCGAAATTTCTGTAAACAAAGTTATGAAGGAAAAGAAATTTTTTTTTCGAATAACTCAAAAGGTATGCATTTTTTTCTGGATTGTACCCATGCTAATTAGAAAGATTACTAAATTACCTACAAAACAAAAAAAAAATCGGACATTTATTAACAAAGATACAGTCTATTAGTTTTGGTATACTTAATAATGTCTTCCGATTTAAAGATATTGCATTTAGGAGTAGAATGGTCTACTACACCTTTTTTTCTGGCTGATATATTAACTTTATTATTTCTTAAAGGAAGTTGGTTGTTCTTACATTTTATTTTTTTAGTAATTTATAAAATCCCATGATCGGGGCATTATTTTGTCTTTATTATCTTTCCTGTGAGCGTTTAGAAATATGTTCTAGAAGAGCAATTTTTACAAATATTGTGGTCTACTATGTTTAATGGAATATTGTAATCGACTAAGGAAAAAATATTAATTCCTTCCTTACATAATACTTACGAACTACTTATTTCCATATTGTTGTATTGTATTCCTATTTCTTCAGTAAACTAAATTTTCTGCGAATTTTTCGCACGGGCCAACTAGTAAGAATAAATTATAGTAAAAAACGCAACACTATCAAGACAGTAAATACCGAACTATCCTACAGTTTACAGGAGGATATTTTCTGCGACAGTTGCTGTCATGGCTAAAATTGTCATTATGGTTACGAGGCTTTGGATAAATACACGAGTAGAAAAGAAAACCCTTGATCTCAGCCAGCTTGCACGTGGTCCCAACACATGCCTCTCTGCATGTGAGCAACTCCATATGCGTCTCTAGCCATGTTTTTATCTTCAGGTGTAATGTCTCAACATACAAAACTTTGAGTCTCTCAAACGATAGTAGTAATTGAATAACCATAAAAAAATTTAAAAAATCACCAATTTAGATTAAGTAAAAAAAATAAATATATATATATATATATATATATATATATATATATATATATATATATATATATATATATATTAAGGATTCATCTCAGTACGTACTAAAGGTAGTATCACTTTATATCATTTGAATATAAA